AGGACACACCCGACCCATCCTTCAAATTCGGGGAAAAGGAGGACGCATTTGTCGGCTGCATTCGGAGGAGTCTACGAATTTGGACAGCCTTCGGCGCGTCGCTGTGACGTAATCGGTCTACAAATGCGGCCTCAGGAGGATGCAGCCCATGAATTTGGACACGACCGCCATTTAAATCAGCTGTGTTGGTTCGAGGACACATCTAAAACCTGCAGGGACACCGGCCCTCGTGGACTGAGATTGCCCACCCCTGTTTTAGAAGATATTAAACCATGGGTTGTACTTGGTTTTTCACATGACTGCAGAGTCCTGGAAAACTTTTCTGTACTAGCAATAACTTGAAATAATCATTTTCTGTATGACCATCAGTCTCTCACGTCATTGTGTGTGTGCATCTTAACTATTTGTTTCCATAGTTCTGTAGTCAATTAAGTTTAAATCTTACAAAACAGTGTTTCCACCAGGCCAATCTTCCAAAAACTTGCTGTATTCCTTTAGCAGTAAAGGTACAGTATATACATCAGTCCATACATGACTGCTCTTAATAAGTGATCAGTAATCCTCTGGAGGCATGGGAGTTTTTCCACTTGTTCTAAAGCCGTTTCTAAAATGAATCAATATTTCATATGACGTCTGACAGTAATATTTGTTTTTCCCTATTCGCTTCTCACATCACACCATCTGCCTTTAACAGATTGAAAGCCACAGGTTGACATTTCGGGACAATGCCAAGGCCCGAGTAGATCATGGAGCCGAGATCATCATCCAGTCACCAGGTCTCTCTGGCTCAGTGTCTCCCCACCGCATCCGCGAAAGCCATCTATCATCCTCCGGGAGTCTCAACATGATGGATTCCCCACAGTTAGCAACCTTGGCGGAGGATGTCACTGCAGCTCTGGCCAAGCAGGGTTTGTGAACACTGGATCTCTGGATCGCTGCTCTGCACCCAAGACGTCCTCATCCTGATCCATTCAAACTTTTCCGCCCTCTCCTGCCACCCTAAGGCTGACTGATCACCGCTACTACTCAGCTAAACCGGTTCTAAGTAGAGACTCAAAGTAGGATCTACTGTACTTTGGTCCTATTTACTCTGTTTTCTGTCTATTTTAAACCCAAACGTCCTATTTCTGATTGATTTTGATCTCCCTCGTTTTGAATCATGTTGCAAAGAAAAGTTTGCTGTAACCTCTAAATAGTGGGGACAAAAGATTGGCTTTACTGGTCTTGGATCAGTGTTGAAGAAGCAACAGCCTTTTTTCTACTTTGAATAAGAAATAACGCGACGACCACCACACCACACCGCACGTATTGCTCTTGTTCAGTAAACGTGCATGGACACCCTATCAAAACACGCATCCTTACTGCAAGTCATTCTTGTCATCCAATATATAATATATTTATCAAATATATATAGAAACATGTATAAAATAAAGGTTCTTTGCCATCTACATGTCCTGAAAACATTTTAAAAGGAAGTGACAAAAATGGCTTGAAAATCTGTAAAATTGCATTTATGCAAGCAACTAGGTCATGTTACCACGAGCATGTATGGATTCAAGTCTTAAAAGAGGCTATTTTGTAATTTAAAATAAGGATTTTAGTAAGTTATTTCCTCATTTATTGGATAAAAATTAAACAAGTTCATGTTTTGTAGTTAATAGTTGTTTACAGTGTAATGCTTGGTGACAATGTCAGACAGCTGATTTGGTGTTGCTAAAGAATGCATCTGAGTCATGTCAAAGTGCATCACACACTTGCACCTGCTCAGCGGTTCAACGCAGAAGCCTGTCCATACATCACAGCAGTATTAAACACTGGCACTCATTCAAACATCCTCAAAAGGAAAGTCTGTTCAGACGCAGCTCACAAGAATAAACAGCACTGACATTTCTCCAGTATTACAGGCTGACATTGCCGTCATCGGGACTGCCGGAACCACAGAGGAGATGCTACAATTTGCGACCTGATATTTAGCAGAAGATGCAGCTACTCTGAAATCTGTCTGTGCGTGTGCTTTTTGGTGCAGGTCCCCTGCTGTTTTACAGCGGACGCTACCATATCTGGATGTTTTGTTGCAATATGTGGGAGAATAAATTGGACAAAAATATTTTGAAAAATCCTAAAAGTTAAAAAGACTCAGTCAACTCCTGATATGTCTGTTAGGAAAAAAAAGTGTTTGGGTGATCTAGTTTCTTTTTCAGACACCATTTGTGGTATGCCCTGCCTCCTGCCTACTACTTACTGCCCTCACCTGCAACTGTTTGTTTGCTTCCGTGTTTTTTCTGCATTCCCCATCTCTGTGTGCCCCTTCCCCACCTCCTACTCCAACCTACAGCAACTGTAAATGTATTTAAAAGGTCAAGTAGATGTACGCAGTTTTTCTCTTGTTGATATGACACCAGTTACAATAATTAATGACAATAAAACGACCAAAAAATGGGAAAAAAAAAGTGACGTACTTGTTTTGTTTTCCGCTAACCAGAAAAAGCACCGCGTATATAACTTCAAAATGTCAAACCACTTCCTTTTGAAAATGTCTGGCTTAAAATAAATGTCCAAATATCAGCGTACAACACACGGAGTCAAAAAGAGGGAAATTAAATGGGAGTGTGAAAAGTTTATTGTGAAATGGCAGAGGATACAATAAGTTAAGACTTAGGGAGGGTTAGATTGGAAGAGGATTGAATTCATTTTGATGGCCAGTCCTGGGCCAAACGAGTCACTTTACTGGCAGATAGAGAGCCAGACAGGCAGTAAGTGGGGAGGGATGGTCATCGTTATTCCGCCTTCCCATCCATCACTGTTCCTCTGTGACGAATATAAACCCCAATGACACTGCGGGATTTTGGTGAAGATAACGAAAGAAGCACCTCATGAGTAATCAGGATAGCTTTCCAAGTGACAGGAGGAGGAACAGAGGAAAATAAAAAGCACCAGTTTGGACAAAAGAGGAAAAAGAAAGTGTTGAAAAAATAAAACAAGGATTCAGGAAATGATATCTCATAGTCCTTTGATCCCCCTGCTTCCACAGATGGTACAGGAAGCAGCGAGCGAATGCAGCGACACCATGGGGTCTGCACATGTACGATGCTCACCACCACGGTGGCAGGGTCCTTACACAGACATGATGTGCTTGACGAAGGCTGCGGGCGAAGGCCGTGGCGGGAGACAGAAAAAAAAAAACAAGAAAAGAAGAGAGGGAAAACTGAGTGAACTGGAAGAAAAATACATCCTCAAACTTCCATGAAATAAACATATGTTTAATTTACTAAATGTGAATACTGACACTGCAGTTTCTCTGTTAACACCCTGTTCATTCATTACATTTTCTTTGCTGATAAAAAGCACTTTGTTCTTTGCTGTTTACATTTTATGAGCAAATCACAAAGTAAGAAACTATCTCTGCTGTGGTTGTTTCTAAGATATTGTTTTCTGTGATTCACAGCTTTTAAAGTATGAGAGTTTGTACTGTCTATAATTGCTTCATCTATTAAGCTACACTTTTTTGTCTAGAGGACAGATGACACTAGAAAAGGTTTGACAGTCACTTCTTTAAGACTATAAGAGAGACTTACAAGAGGCTAAGATACTGTGTGTTAACTCCAAAAAGTCTGGATTGAACACTTCTATTAATATCAAAGAAATGCAATGACATCATCAGGGGTGTGAAGCTCCAAGATAGGAGTCACATAGTTCTCACAGATTAGATTAAGCAAAACTTGTAAAGTAATTCTCACATAAGATAAAAACAATCTATAATAATAGAATTAATAATTATTATGAACAGCGTGAATACTATCAGCAGCAGTAATAGTATCATCTTGTTTTTATGTAGCTGTTGTTGGACTGTGTGGCTCACCCTCATAGTTGACACAGCCGTTCTCATCCTCTTGTCCTGTCATGAGAGCGTCAATCTCAGCCTCTGTCATCTTCTCTCCTGCAGGGGGAGGCAGAGGACATCTGATATTAACAACACACAAAGCGACTCGGGCACGCACCTGAACAGATCGAAGGAAACGCATCCTAGGCTGACTCACCGAGTGTTGACAGGACAATACGCAGCTCAGCACCCATCACTGTGCCGTTGCCCTCCTTGTCGAAGACGCGCAGACCCTCAACATAGTCTTCAAATCCTGCCTTGTTTGGGCTGTTGATGATGGCCTGGAGCATGGGCAGGAAGCCCTCAAACTCTACTCTCTTGCTGGCCATGTCTGCGTGAAAGGAGGTAGAGTAAGTTGGATCTAGAGGTGACACTAAAGGGAGGCTCAGAGTTCTAGAGCTTCAGCAGGTTCACGATTGAGCACAGCGCAGTTCTATTTTAAGGCACATTTATTACTTTGTTTATTTATTTATTAGGTAATTTGCCATTTTGATCTTGATTGCAGTCTTGAGTTTGCTCAAATCTGCACCTACACCATCATCTGTCTTCTTTCAGTTGCTCCCTTATTCAAAGGGACTGCCATAGCAGATTCACATATTGGATAGGTTTTTAAACCACATGCCCTTCCAGGGATTTGTGTCTCCTCCTGGTCTTGAACCAGGGATCTTTTCTCATCTTAGGCAAATATGTTAACCACTATAATAATATAGTTCTTCTGTTAGTTTAGAAGACAAAGTGTGTGTGATTAAAAACAAAAAAGTATTCGATCAGGCTACGTTTTGTACTGAAAAATACAAGACGTGGACAAGTGTGAGCATGTATTGCATAGCTCTGTGCTACACTTCACAGTTTGGGAAAGTTTATGAATGAATATGACAATGTTGACCACTAGCTGGCAGCATAAACAATTTATTATGCCATTTCCTCAAAGGCACAGACCTGTCCACAATATAAGACACTTTTGATGAGCTGACTATCATTTCTCAAAATGTCAAAAAAGCAGCTACTGATAATTTCTCTGTCATACTTGCTATCGTTTGTGTTTGACAGCAGCACTGCACACCTCTTTTGCATATTTTACCAAAAAACCCAGAGCTATCCATTAATGTTTACCACACATATTATTAAAATCAGTTTAGACAAATCAGCGTTTTGAACTATGCCTCAGTTAGTAATGTTCCTTGTTTTAGCCCAGTGACGACAGCCTGTCATACTGACATCAATACAAAAAGCAAATTGCTAACTTATCTTTATTGGGATTAGAATGAATCTAGTCATGTATGTCATGCTCCCTAACATCTTCTGTAGCAAATCTTTAAGTGATCAAGTGAGGGAGCAGTTACTAAATGTCATTACTGTACCATCAGCAGAGGGGTTTCCCAGCAGTTTGGTCACCTCCTTGTTGGTGGGGTTCTGTCCCAGAGCGCGCATGATGTCAGCAATCTGGTTGAAAGCCACCTTGTTGTCACCCACCCTGTCGAACAGACCGAAGGCCTCCCTGTAGTCTGTTTAACAGAAGCAAGAGAGGATTTTGCCAGCTTAGTGATCCATAATTTCCATTTTTATTTTATCTCAAAGTTGGTAAAGTTTATAATCATTATAGTTTGTTAAGTCTTTATCGTGGACGGTAAGACATTTCTGTTATATTACTTCTAACTGTAGAATTTCTTTTTTAAACAGAAACTACAGCAATGCAAAAACCTATTTAAAGAAGAAGAACTGCATTTGGGGCACATTTACATTTGATTGCATAAAAATAGCACTAAAAATAGCACTAACCTGAGGTATTGCAATATTTTTGCATTTATGTTTGTATAAAAGAAGCTTGTGATGTGTATTTTATAGACTAGCACAGTTGCTCATCAATATATGTGATGTGCATTGTCATCTGATTGTATGTATATGCAAACATAACATATCTTACTTCAAAAATTGAAGTTATAGTTTGTGTTAATGCTTTTTTTTAATTGAGTCACTAGTTTATATTTCAGCCTTAGCTGTTGCGTGTCAGCAGGTGGAGACAGCTATGCTACAAACTGACAAGGAAAATATCTAACAAGTGCAAGACGTCCCAAAAGGTTGTGGTATTATTGGCTGAATAGAGTCTCTCCTGCCGATCTCGTCACCCCTCATACTATTTCCATCTCAGCTGTCTCCTTCTCTCTCAGTCAGCGGGGCAATGGGCTCTTTTAAAAGACCACCTTGGAATTGATAAACATAGCTGAGAATATGAGCTCCTCCTTTTAAAGGCAAGGCCCTCTGTGGGCGAGCTGAGTAAAAGTAGGGAATGCTGACTGCAGTGTAACAAGCAGCCTGCCAGACTTCAGGTTTGGTCATGTGGTTCCAACCAACAGCACACAGGTGTGTCTATCTGTCAAACACTACACTATCATTTTACTGTGCTTCCATCTGTAATCTTTAAATCTTCCAATCTTTTCTTTTTTTTTTTTCTTTTTTCTTTTGGCTGTTGGCTCTTGAAACACAATGAGATATCGCTGATCTAGTGACACAGAGTTCTAAAAAGCATGTAAACAAGCTAAAGTTAATATCTGGTCACAGGGATTTGCTGGCTTGATTTGTGGACATGCGACCCTTTCGTTATATAGTAATGATGCTCTTTACAGCCAAACTGTGATGTGATCAAAATGCTTTTTAAAATGTAATCTGAGTGTTTTTAACCTGACACCAGTTGTCCTATTTATTTTTACTAACAAGTTCAGTTAGTTGATGCATTTGTTGCCAGTGATTTTCATACAAGAAGCCACATGTTTAACCACATATGCGGTTTCTTATTCAAGCATGCAAATCAGTCAAGCTTCTGAAACCGTAAAAGTCTTCTTAAGACTGACTGTACACATGAAGTGTTTCTGAGCTTCATTAGCCACAAAAGGGCTTCAGAACGGATTTGATGGCTTTGTGGAATTTTAAAATACAAAAATGAATGAGGTGTCCAACTGTCATGGATACGCTGAGACCTGTTATGATGTCTATTGTAGTTTTTTTTTTACATTGCTGTACTCTGTTATTTCTCTTTTGCTCCCTGTATGTTGTTAAATTGATGGAATTTGCAAGTCACATTTTATGATAAAGGCAGATTTTCAGATTTCTTTGACGGAGGGCCAGCTGAGTTTTGTGGACTGTAACAGTATAGAACTGAGGTGAATTAAGTTTTACATACCTTCAATCTGGTCTGCGCTGAATTCCACCTACAAGCCAATATAAAAGCAACATTTTAGTAAAAAACATGGAAAGGCAAAAGTTATCACTTGCCCTGTAATTAACATCACATTTGTATTCAGACAACGTGATCAGGCACTTCACATTTATTGTGCCCTAAACAATCACATCAAAACCAAATTTAGCTTCATATTATGCCACATATGTAGGTCCATCTTTAGCTACGTTAACATGTCCACATTTGGTGTCACTCTGCATTGCCATCACATATTAGTCCCTACTCTGATAGTCCAATCCAGAGAGCCCAGGGTGTGGTCTAAGAGATCTAAGACATGGTGCGCTATCCATGGTCCCACTCATTCTCCCCAATACTCTGCACACCTTTTATTGTGGTCCTGCCAACCTGCAGTTGCTCTCACTGACTCTCAAGTGCTTATAAGCTTATAGATATTCAAATCATTCATATAAATGTAATAAATGGTTATTGCCCCTCCCCCGCCACTCCACCAAGCTCTTTCTCCATTTAGCAAAAACACTGCATCCGTCTACTTCTGTCATGCAACTTTATGAGTAGAGAGAAAGAGCGAGATAAATCCCAGTTCTTCCTTCCTCGGTATCCAGCACCCCAGTGTAGATCTGGTTAAGCCTTCACAGGTCATTGTACCTTGATGGCGGAAAGGTCGATAGCGGGAGCTGCGGGAGCAGGGGCTGGCTCGGGCGCTGCTGCTGCTGCTGGTGCAGGTGCGGGCGCAGGTTCGGCTTTCTTTGCGGGAGCCTTAGCGTCCTTCTTGGGTGCCATTTTTGCTGATAGTAGAACTACTTTGGCCCTGAAGCACAGACAATTCCCGGATCGGGTGACACACAAAGACTGTAGCACAGACTGAGCACAGAGGAAGAAATCACCGTTGGGGCGTATATATATGTGACTATTTTTCCTCTTGACCACCCGTCAACCCTATCCCCGTGTAAGGATTGGATAGCGGATGGGAGGGGTGTGTGTATGTGAAGGGGTTCTCTCTAAACTTGGAATATAGGGCTACGAGCCAGAAGGTGTTTAGCCATATAGCTATAATCACAAACGAAAACATTGAAACGGCGTGAAAGGTTACCCGGGGTCACGCGATCTTTCCGCTGGATCGTTTCTTAAAGGGTCTACTTTTACGCACTGCCCCCACTTTTACGCACAGCTTTGCGCTTCATTGCGTACACTATCTAAGTAATATATTCTGAAATGTTTTTCAGGCCAATCCAATAGATGATATGGATACATAAACACAAATCAGCGACTATCAGACCATTAAAACCTGACCTAAGAAATGGAAATGTGTCTGAGTAGAGGAGAGATAAAGCAATTTGAAGGAAAGTAAATAGCAGATCCCGTGGAGCTGCAATATTTGACATATGACGGAAAATGAAATCAGCTGCTGTCAAGCAGAAGTTAATGTGAGTGATTATGAGTGTGAGAGCAGAAATACGTCAATGACTTTTTTCTCTGAAAAGAAAAAGACGTCCATGGTCATATCCTCTAGGAACTGCAGTATCAGTGTTTCATTAAACACATCTCTGCTTACCACAATATTAGTAATGCTAGCTGAGCTGATCTTTGACAACATCTCTGATGGACTCTTCGGGGGGCTTCATTTTTACCATCAGCTGTGTATCCAAGCATTGCGCAGAAATTTATTTGAAATATAGCACAGATATCCGTGTTTCCAGTGAGTTTAAGGTGACGATATTTCTAACATTCCTTTAAAATATTACACAACATATCTAGAATATGTGCAACTGATATCACGATGGTGCAATCATAAGAACATGGCACATTTGCTTTAATATTTAGCTTGACATGACCCTATTATATGTGGTGCCAGTGGAGTATTGATACAAATACATTTGGAATATGTGTGTATCTAAGAGTGTAGAAAACTCAAAAAGGAATAAATGCAGATGACGTTTTATGGTAAGAAATATGTCTGCTGTTGGCTGTAGTCAGAAAAAAAAAACCCTAACTGATCAGACTACTTCAAATTAATATGTCAGTGTCAATATCTCATTTTTTAGATGAACAGGTGGTGGAAGGAGTGTCTTTCAGAACTAATAAAGAGCCATTGTTTATTTCTAGTCACGGATAATGTGCGTTGGATCAGCAGCTGTGGTCAGTTTGATTCTCTACTGAGGGAGGTGAATGGGGAGGAGGGGTCACCACAACCACAGGAAGGATGTGACGTAAAGGCAAAGGGAGATGGCGACCTAGTGGAGCTTTCAGCTGCTGATGCCAGTAACCCAGACAAGGCCAAGAGTGCAAATTCTACCTCCTTAATTCTTGTCTATATCTGTCTCCCAGTGCCAGCGGTGCCGCCCTGCCCCCAACACCATGACAGGGCCAAGTGACGAAGGAACAGCATAAATTCCTTCACCCCACAGCCCCCAACCCCTACACACTCCCCACCCACTGGCTTTCACTGACCCCATCTCCGTGAGGGTAAGCCAGAGAAAGCCTCAGTCCCTCAGCTGTCATCTAGGCTCACCCCCAGCACTCCACTTCATCTTCTTGGAGTCTGACTTCCCTTTACTCCCTCCCCCTATAGAAACTCTGCCCCAGTCCTTGCACCTGTGCTGCAGTCCAAACTGAGCTCCACTATAGAACCTTAATGGATTCAGCAGCACGATAGAGCTGGGCTTTATTAGGAGGTGATGGCAGGTCAGCTTATGAAAAGAGAGAAAAAAATGGACAGATCAAGTTCATGAGGTGATAATCTTTAAAAATTTGTAAAAAAGTAATGTCATTTATAACATTTATAAAACATTTTAGTGAGTAAAATACTGGGCAGTTTTTTTTTCCCTTTTGTTTATTCAAACCTACATAATGTTTCAATTTCACTCCCATAACTAATTAAAATCCAGACAAATAAGTTCTGTGTCATTTGCTCCATCAGCGTGAAGAAAAAGGGTGTCTAAATATCTTTGGGTTTAGTGTTACTGAGGATCGCATTAGTGAATATATACAGTGCTGTCTTCTCATGACTAAACGCTTAAACCTTTACTTAGCTATCTTCAGTGCTCAGTTCCTTTGAGAATGCCATAGAAGACATATGAGGTCAGACCTTTTGAGAGAAGAATGAGCTTCAGCCTTACAGTGCATGGCACGGCATTGACATCTGAAGAACAAATATAACAGCCTCCCTTGGTGATTCACAATGCCGTTCACGGTGACAGAACAAGAGGATAAGGGAGAAAAAAAAACCTGTATCCAATGTTACAATGAGTTGTGTTTTCTTATTTTTGTGGATATGGAGCGGAGCTGTTACATTTATGCATGAGGAAGACTATCTAAGAGAGATCTTATGTGGAGCTTCTTCGTAGCATACAGTACTGTGTAAAAGTCTTGAATAACCCTCATTTCTTTATATTTTGCTCAAAAGAAGCCAGACGTGGTCTTGTGCAATAGTTCTACAGGCTTCTGAAGGACTTTCAGGTTTTTTTTTGACAATGGCTGCTTTTTTGGTCATTTTCAGTCCAGTCCAAGCTCAGGCAAAGGCAGCCATTGGCCATAACTGGTTGCGGGTGAGGAAAGGGAGACAGGTCAAAAGATGGATTGTGGAAGAGATCTAGAGATAACCTTATGATTAAATGCAGAGTGGCTTTTATTGATAGAAAATCAAATAATCTTATGTATGTAAAGTGGAGGTCAGGAGAGAGGTACAACAGTGAGTGTCTACAGCCATCTGTAAAACACAGTGGAGTCTCTGTGATGGTTTGTAGCTAACATGGGTAGAAGAGGATCTACCATGAAATACTACCTGGAAAGCAATTGATTGGCAGTTATTACAATGTTCTCAAATACACTGCCAAGTAAAAGGATACCTGGATACCTAAGCAGCGTAGGATAATCTTGACAAAGAATGGAACAAAAGGCCAACAACATTCAGAGAAAAGCTTTGAATGTCCTTCAAGAAGCTTGGGGAACCCTAAAACCTTGCTTAAAGAAATCTCAAAGCTTAACTAAGAGAGTTCAGGCTCTGTTGAAAATAAAGGTGGTCATAGCAAATATTGATTTTCAAGCTCATTAGAATTGTATAGACTGTTTTTGCCTCATATGCCATATTTCCACCTGTGGTTGCACATATTTTATTAAATGCTTGCACCTATTTCCCATTTTCTTAGCAAAATATAAAGGAAAAAGAACAGCTTAAGACCTTTGTACCATATTGATAAACAAGTGTAAAAGACTCTTTTTTGGTGATATAGAGTTCACCCATACTCATGCTCATTTCTCCAGTCTCAGGTTGGACCTTCTTTGGAGGACCAGCCTACATGCCCTGTAGCCATGTCGCTAGCGTTATATCGGTCTACATAATGTACCTGTAATTTAAAAAGTACTTTTTCTTTCTTTTATTTTTAAACTTTATTTTAAAATACTCTGAATATATTCTCTGATCATATAATAAGCTATGCAAAGTGACCAGCTAGCCAATCTTCTTCCAGGCTCAGACAATACTGAGCTATAATTATCCTAGTTAGGGTCAAGACCATGAGCTGTCAGAGCTATTCATATTTCTTATGTGCCTCGTATTCCTTCTTTGGTAGTCAGGTCTTCCAGTTGGTCAACAAGCACTATAAAAGTTTAGCTCTTACAACCACAATTTTGCTAGTGGTTGTTTCCCCCTTTAAAGAAATAACAGAAATAGTGCATACAAAAAGTCTAGATCACTAGTTAGAATCAGCCATGGTGCTTTCCCTACACAAATGTTTGTATTTATTCAACTTTCTTCTTACTAGAGCTTTTCTTTTGAGTCTGAAGTGGATAGGATTAGATAAATCATCACTGGACATTATAGAGGATCTGGGATGTTAAAGCAAAACAGTAATAGGAAGCAATAACCAAAAGTGGGGTAAAACAAACAGTCTTTATTGAAGTGAAAGCCTATTATCCTCCAACTTAGTAATATCCAAATTATGTTCCCTAAGTTACGTAAGAATCCTAGAGTGTCTCACTTGGCTTCACAGTTCTGTTTTGAATGTTCTACACTACAAGAGTCCACACAGAACCATTAAATATGCTTTTCATCACAGAAAGACAAAGAAATTGTTTGCAGTAGAGTTGAACAAAGCAGTTGATAGATGTGAGTGGGGGGCGTTTGATGGGCATTCTTTTGCAGCTACCTTGCTTTAACCTGTCTTCTCTGGGTCACTTCCGCACTCTGTAGCTATGCCCTTGGTGGGGACAAGAGAGGCATTTCGTATTATCACTCTAAGGTTTGCTTCAGGACAGGTGCTATAACAGTATCACCTCAGGAATGGAGTTGTAACATAGAGTGTCAATGAATGTTTGCTACTTTGCGTTCATAGTAATTTGTCAAATTCTGCAGTTCAAAGTATTTCTAACTTGTATCCGTACTGGAAATTCTGGATTTTATGTTACTGCAACTAAAACAGCCGTGAAATTACGAGTTGTGCAATTAAGATTCCAGGAAGAAGGAAAGACAGAGGTACTGATTTCAAGACATAGCACCTGTCCTAGCCTTGGAGTACTCCTGTGTTAAGCATGATTAATGAAATGCTGAGAACATGAGCTTGAGAAAAACATCATGCGATGAGTGCAGTGTGGTGTAAGATTCCAAAGATGGCAGAAGCTCCTTGGTCACTGGCATTTGGCTCGGTGGGGAGCTGAAGTGCTGAAAGGGTTACTGAAAAGAAGGAAATGACGGACCGTAGCGAAGGACTTCCTTTGCTTCAAAATATTCAGCAGAGGTCACTGAGTCAGTCTTCTGAGATGAGCAGAGCAAATTTTGGATTCTGGTTCCATCTACCGCCCCCTCTTTTTAAACCCTGAGTGCTTCCTTCTCTGCCCTACGTCCATGCCAAAAGGAATGAGGCTGTAACTGAGCCTGGGGGGACAGATGGTGCCTATTTATAGT